GGGGGGGGGGGTGCTGGGGTTGTGGCTCAGCAGTAGAGCGCTGCCTAGCACGTGTGAGGCGCTGGGTTTGATCCTCAGCACCACATAAACAACTAAAAAATATTTTTAAAAAATGATATGATGATCTCCTTCAGGGTTTATTGCTAAGAGGTATATCTTAGAATAGCTTGCCCCAATGTAAGTTTTAAACACACACATCCTGAGGGCCCAGCTGAGCCTTCAAGGTGACCCCAGTCTCTGTGTCACCTGTGACCACCCGAGACAACCTGAGACATTAAGCCAAATCAATTCACCATGCTGTGAGAGGTATAATGAATGGTTGTTTGGAGCCACACATTTGGCTTAGGGAGGGTGTTAACACAGTAAAAGACAACCAGCAAACTGCTCCCACATCCCCCATCCCAAACCCCAAGCAGCTTGTCTCTTGTACCCCACCTGCATCTGTGCTATGTGTGAACGTGCTGTGAACGCACACACAGTGTATGTATGTGTGCTGTGTACTTGAATGTGCAGTGTGTGTGTTGGTGCCATGCAGGTGAATGGACTGTGTGTATGTGCTGTGGGTGCACCTGTGTTTTTGCCCAGAACATTCTATTGTCTCTTTCCCATCTGGATAGTCCCAGCTCCTACCCCAAGACTCAGCTCAGATGCTATCTTGAGCCTCTCCTGCCTCCAAGGCTGGGCTGTATTCTGTGCACCTGTGCACATCTATCTGGATACAGATTTCCACGTTTGTGGTATTATGTGGACACAGAACAGGTATGCAAAGAAAGTTTGCTGAGAAGATTGCACAGAGGAAAGGAAGGGAAGCAGCTTCTATTTACTTTGTGGCCCAATTTAGCAGAAGTCTGTCGCCCTGTCCACAAAACTGAGGTTGGCAGCTGGTTCTTGCATGGCAGTTATTCACTCTGAAGTAAATTCCAGAACTGGAGAAGGCCCTTTTGCCCATTATCTATGTTACTGTCTTTTATCTGGTTATCTAGCTAATCAGAGAGGTAAATAACTAGTCCAAGGCCAAAAGCCCCTCCTGACTGCATTCGATCATGTGTTCACTTGAATGGTCACCCTGAAGGCACTGTCAAATGAACCAAGGGCTGGGAGGGACAGGAAATCACCAGGTCTCTAAAGCAATCACAGGCTGGCAGCCTCCACCAGGCTCACCGGGTATGTGGGCTTGGTGGCGATTTCCAGAAGCTTCTGCTTGGCTCTTCGCTCTGCCTCACGGGCTTCCTGCAGGTCCTGCTTCAACTGATCTGCCTCCTTGGCCCTGTAAAGGAAGAAGGAGATGTCAGCTCCATAGAAAAGAACAGGTAGAAAGAGCATACCCCTACTCTCACCCAGTCCCTAGAGAGGAGGGACATGGGTTAACTTTGAGGATAACAGGACAGTGACATTTACAGGAAGTCAGAACTCCCAAAGCAAGGTCAACATTCCTGGGCATTATTTATTTCAATTGCTAACTCTAGACTGGGAGAGAAGCCAGTGGGGAGAAGAGCCAAACAAGGAGTTCTGCAAGCCAGCCAGGTACAGAGGCACATGTTTGTAGTCCCAGATACTCAGGAGGCTGAGGCAGGAGGATCAGTTAAGCCCAGGAGTTCAAGGCCACCCTGGGCAACATAGCAAGATCCCATCTCATAACAAAATCAAAAAACACAAAACAAAACCTCTGTAATAGGTGGAGACAGAGGAAGGTAGGAAGTTGGGGAGGAGCGAGAGGCACATTTGCTTATTTCTGGTGACAGTGGGCAGGGCAAAGGAAGTACACAGGAGAGCAAAGGTCTTTTTTTTCCCAAAAGTCTTATATTAGACCATAAAGGTCAAAAATAGGAAAGAATGTTTCTTCACAGCCTGCAAGTAAAAGAGTCGCAGGTTAAGCACCCACTTTCCTCAGGCAGGAAGATCAAATCTGCCACTGAAGGCAGTTGCCACTGAGGGCAACTGCTTCTTGGTGCAGATCCCCACCCTAAAGGACACATGTTAGGGGCAGCATGTGAGGCCTGTTGTGGGGACCCAGACTGAGATCCAACACTCACAGCAAATGTGACCAACATAGAAAGAAAGGGGGCCAGGACAGGGCCAGCCACCAGGAACCATTTCTCCAGAATGACACGCAAAGAGTGATGGGGAAAATCGTAGTGAATGAACCTTGGTGCCTAAGAGCCAGATTCAAGTGTTCTAAATCAATACAGCCAGATACTGTGGGGAATGTTCCAGTGTTTATCTGAAGGCTGCAGAACAATCCAGATCCTAGAATAGTTTCTGAAAAGTACAGACAACAGCAGTTCCCTTCAACAGTTCCCAACTTGGTCCCAAGGAGAACCCTGCCTCCCTCTCCCCACTATCTACTAAGAAGGCTGCTGGGACTTCAGATGCCTAATTTCCCTTTCAAGATAAATAACCTCTGTTTTCCCACATCACCACCACCATCCCAAATAAAAAGGAGGAAAGAACCACATTTTTTTAAATACAAAAATGACTTTTTAAATTTCCTTGACTAAAAGCAGTCTGGAGATGCTCAGAGGTTCTCTTGCAAAAATGATTATCAGACAGACAGGGGTTTATCACAGATGCAGGACCAGAGAGGTCTACTCAGCAAAAGAAAAAAAAAAAACTGTTTCTGGGTCCTTCCAACAGCTTCAGCTACCCAACCCTGTCCAGGAAGGAATGTCCCCATCCTTGCCCCACAATGGAGAAGCAGCTTGAGGATGGCTGCCACCCAGCTCAAGGAGAGAGAGTCCCTTAGCCAGGCCCAAATTTCCAGGACACCCCCCCTCACCTCCTCTCTGACTCCTCAGCCATCTTCAGTGCTAGCACCTCAGCCTCCAGCACCTTCTGCTCCATGAGGCGTTTCTCTTCCTCTGTCCGAATGGCTGTGGCCTTAATGCGCTGCATCTCCTGCTCTGCCTCTGCGGCTTTCTGGGCCAGGAGTTTGGCCTCTTCCTCGGTGATCTGGGCCTTTTCAGCCAACAGGTCGGCTGTCTCCTCTGACCGCATCTAGAGAGGAGTGTGCTCAGCTGGACTGGGTTCCTACCTCCTGCCCAGATCTGCCCTGGAACACGCAGGTCAGCAAGAACCAGTCTTGGACTCCTCGGGCCCTGTCACCAAGTGTCCCCTCAGCAGCACTCATGAAACAGATGACATGTCACATCCCCCAAATATTTAGAAGAGCCTTTTGGGCTCCATCAGTGAGAAACAAAAATAAAGGGCACTTTTTTTGAGTACCCATTTCAACTAAGGCTGATGCTTTATGAGGGAGAAAAACAACTTAAACATTGTACTTCTTTCTCTTTAAATCAGTGGTTCCAAACCAGAGGAGGCCGGGAGGCTGAGGCAGGAGGATTGCAAGTTCAAAGCCAACTTCAGCAACTTAGTAAGGCCCTAAGAAACTTAAACAAGACCCTGACTTAAAACAAAAAGGGCCAGGATATGGCTCAGTAGTTGAATGACCCTGGATTCAATCTCTGGTACCCCACCACGACCAAGAAAAGAAAAGAAACAAGAGGAAGGCTGGACGAGATGGAGCATGCCTGTAATCCCAGCAACTCAGAAGGCTGAGGCAGGAGGATGGCAAGTTTAAGGCCAACCTCGGCAACTTAGCAAAGGCCTAAGCAACTCAGTTTGACTCTGTATCAAAATAAAAAATAAAAAGGGCTGGAGATGTGGCTCAGTGGTAAAGTGCCTCTTGGTTAAATCCCCAGTATCAAAACCAAAAACAAAACAGAAGAGGTTCTATCTCTGTCCCCCACCACCCTGAGGCACATGGCAATGTCTGAAGATACCCACCACCACCCCACCCCACCCCTCAATACTGGAAAAGGCACCCAGGGCCTTGTGCATGCTAAGCAGGCACTCTACTACTGAGCTACATCTCCAGCCCTGGAAACATTTTTGATTGTCACAAATGGAGGTTAATATAATCAGAGATATGATAAATTATGATATAATGGTTCATTAAGAATTATAATGCAAAAATAAATAAATAAATACATAAATATACAAATCCATTCTTGCAGTAAGATGCATATAATTATCAATTGGATTATAATACTCATCATGTACTTATGAAGTTTGTACTTCTATATATTGCCATATATTATTAGCTAGCAGATTTTTAAAACATAATAAAATAATGATACTATTAATTAAAAAAAAAGAAAGTTAAGGTGGTATTATTAGCATTTAGGAAGTAGAGGCCAGAAACAATGCTAATCATCCTTCGATGCAGAGGACAGCCCCAGATGAGAGGTCCCCCCATGTCAGTAGTGCCAAAGTCAAATAATGCTGCTTTAAAGGTAATCCTGTGGTAAAAGTAGAGTCTGGATGCACATGAACTCAACCTAAACCTGTTTCTGGCAAACAGGTGAAAAGAAAAGGCACTGCCTTTTTAAAAGCTGAAATAAAGTCTGGCACGGGAGGCTGAAGAAGTAGGATCATAAATTCAAGGCTAGTTTGGACAACTTAGTGAAAGCTCTTCCCAAAATAAAAAAATGAAAAGATGTAGCTGCATCTGCAGTGGTAGAGTACTTGCCCAGTAGGCACAAGGCCCTGGGTTTAATCCCTAGGACTGAAGAAAAAAACAAAACAAAACAGGGGAATAAAAGCTGAAATAAAGTGTATCAAAGCAAATATTGCTAATTCAGTCCCCAGGAGGCTCCCTCCAGAAGTCCCCATGTGACCTCCTGGGACCCCAGCCCTCAGAAAATCACCAGTGCTTCATTGGCCATCGTGGCTTCTTCCTTCATCTGTAGCAGCCTCCTCTCCAGCTCATCCCTCGTGCGTTCAGCCTCCTCCCGCATCTGTTTCTCTCGAGCTAGGCGCTGCCGCTCCATCTGGAGGGGTGAACAAGAGCAGGGGTGAATCATGATGCTCCAGCACCCCAAGAATGCCCAGCCTCCAGAGTCTCTCCTTCGAGGACCAATCTCTTTTCTTGGGGCAAACTTAACCATTGCTCTCTGTCACTTCTAAACCAGTGGCAGAGTTGAAAGCTGTGTACCTTAAAAAAATTCTACTAGTGAACAAACAAATGAAGAAACAACAACAACAAAACCAAGCTTGGTCTCCATCTGGACAGAAGCAGCATTCTTCCACAAAGTGCCCTTATAACACCCCTGTTAGTTAGGAAACCTCATGTGGCTCTGCCCTGTGGCTGGTGGTTTGTGACGCAGGTTCCTCCTCCCTGAGATGGAGCAGCTCTCAGCTCTCTCATCTCTCAGATGAGCCACTTCACCATTTCTAATCCACACAGACTCTTCACACATCTCTCATTTCACCCACAACAACTCCGTTCCTGCCTGGCCCACAGAGAAGATGGACCTGTGTGTCAAGCATCAATGGCTCATGCAACTATTTCACAGGTGGAAGCTGCAGCAGCCACAGCACAGCTCTGCACAGCCCCACGCAGAGGCGACTTCTGAGCCAGGCATCCTTAAGGCAATGGTACAAAGCCACTGTCACCTCCCTTGTCCGCTAGATCACTGTGTTAATTGGGCTACCTGCCGAGCTTAATAAGGAGAACAAGACTGGGACAGCACCATCTCTGTGATCCCAGAATATGAACTGAGTCCAGAAAGCAAAAGCTAGAAGTGATCACTGTGCTATTTTCTGCCTTAAATAATGAAGGCATAGTGAATTATTACCTTCTTGCTTTAATCTTATCCCAAACTCTAGTAGTACAAGATTTCTTGGTCTGGGGCTGTAGCTCAGTGGTAGGTCCTTGCCTAGCATGTGTGAGGCTCTAGGTTTGGTCCTCAGCACCACACAAAAGTAAATAAATAAAATAAAGGTATTTTATCTAAAAATATTTTAAAATTTTCTTTTTTTATGTATGTGCATTTTTGTGGTACCATTGTTGGATTGAGGGGTGCTCTACCACTGAGCTGCATCCCCAGCTTTTTTTTTTTTTTTTTTGAGACAGGGTCTCCTTAAGTTGCTCAGGCTGGTCTTGAACTTGTGATCCTCTTGTCTCAGCCTCCCAAGTAGCTGGGATTACAGCCCTGTGCCACTATGCCCCACTGGTAGGCTGCTGCATTTCTAAATACAAAGCCAAAAAAATGCACTGAAATTCGAAAGGATAATGCAAAGATAAGTAATAAAATACTGTAAATTCTCTAATTTTCTTCTTGCCGGTCAATGAGAAGCATGGCCAATTTGTTCTCTAATTTCCATCGTATTATAATTTCCATCTCTATTATCTTCCTCTTGGGGAAAAAAAAATGGCCCAGGCAGCCCCATTCAGTTCCCAGCACTATATTTTCCCTGAGACCTCTACCCCAATAATAAACGACTTCCCATCTACAAAGCAGTCTATCACCTACAAAGACTTTCTTCAGGCACAATATGTCCTTTGATTTGAGAAAAGACAAGAGGCATCATTAGCTCCACTTGATGGAAGAGAAAACTAAGTCACACACTAAGTGACTGATCCAGCTCCAAGGGTCACTGTTCTACTGAGCCATGGAGCCCTCTGACCTGTCAAGTCCCCTGACCTTTGGTTACCCAGATGCCTGGGTCATGCCTCTGCTGTCCTATAGGCAGTACAGGCCAAGGGGTAGTCATGCTATTCTCTGCCAGGGCCCAAAGCCTACACCCTCCTTTATGTCTTTAAATCTGTCACTTCTAAGCTTTGCTCTGCTGAGAAAGAGGTCAAAGGAAGCTCTTCTTAAAGTTGCCACTACGACCTTATGCTGGCCAGGAGCATTTCTTTGCCCAACAAAACCTATCTCATCACCTTTAAAGCATCCCAAAGAGTACATTGAGCCCATTCTCCCAGAAAGCAAAGAGATGGAGAGCTAACAGCCCACTGGATCAAACTGGGCATTTCACATTCAATTCCAGGGCTGGAAGCCAGCTCTCCAGGGTACCCAAATCAGAGAGCAGCACACAGACTAATCATTACACCTCTGAGCTTGCTAGTCCGGAGGGCAGCCGACTGCAGCTGCCACTACTCTATCTAACAGTTCATCCAAAAACAATTGATATTCTCAGCAGCGAGGCTCAAATTAGTTGTGTGGGTTTTGGTGAGTAGAGAAGGTCTACGAGTAGAAAACAGCGATGCAGCTCGTCCAGTCTGCTGATAGGCCCTCTCCGCACCTCCCACAGTGGGTGATGTGCACCCAGGCTGACCTGCAGTGAGGAAGTGTGACCAGAGTCTAATTAGTATTCCAGCAGCAAGCACTGAAATGCTGCCATGTATTCCATCACCATCTAATTAGAAAAGGAGAAGGCCAGGCAAAGGAGACAGACAGGCAAAAAGAAAGCTAGCTAGCGAGGTGGATGGAGAGATGAAAGAACACTAGCTATCTCATCCAAACCTGTGTTAATCACACTTAACTTCACTGAAGTGTACAGATATTTCTCTTACACGGCTGTTAGAATTTATTGCTCATTTCTAAAACTGACATCCCATCAACAGGGTATTAGCTAATAAAGATTCAACAGGGGTCTGGGGTTGTAGCTCAGAGGTAGAATGCTTGCCTTGCACATGTGAGGCACTGGGTTCAATCCTTAGCACCACATAAAAATAAACAAATAAGTTAAAAAATAAAGTTTAAAAAAAGATCCAACAGGGATGAAGTAGGAGCAGGCATCTCCATGGCCAAATGGTTCTATCAGTCCACAACCGGCCTTACCTTCCAGGGCAAGACTGACCAAGCAGTGACATCATCCTTAAAATAAGGTCTTGCTCACCTGCTTTCTAGCCTTCTCCTCCCTGGCTTGGGCTTTCATCTGCTGAACTTCCAAAGAATCGGCCTTCCTTCTCCTCATAAATAGGTCATGGTTCCCAATACATAATTGAAGAATCTGTGGGCATGGAGCATGAGAAATGTTAAACCCACAAATTTACTTTTCTGCCTATCAGACCAGTCACACTACAGCATCACAGCCTCTGGTGAGTGGCACTAAACCTGAGGAGTAAAATGGCAAAGCATGCTGACAGCTTCTAGTGCTCTTAGTTCTGTAGGCACGCAAAATGAAGACAGCTCAGATAAGCTAAGAGGTAAAAATACAAGTGGAAAGAGGAGAAAGGTCAATTATCATGTCTTCTAGCTGTACACCTCACTCTCCTAAGCCAAGATATGGCTCTGCAGATTAGGAAGGGCAGGAAAGCTCATTCAGTAAGTTGGGCTGGGACAAAAGGTTATTCATGTGGAAAAAAAAGTTTGTTGGATCCCTCCCTCACTCCATACACCAAAAATTGATTCCAGAAGGATTAAAAACTTAAATGCAAAGATAAAGTCCTAGAAATTGTGATTAGAAGATAATGTTGGGGCTGGGATTGTGGCTAGCGGTGTAGCGCTCACCTAGCACGGGCGAGACCTGAGTTCTATACACAGCACCACATAAAAATAAAGGCATTGTGTTGTGTCCATCTATACCTTAAAAAATTAATATTAAAAAAATAATAAAATATAGAAGATAATGTTTATAATCATAGGAAGAGAAGATATGCCAAGTAAGGCACATAAAAGCACAAATAATTAAGGAAAATATTTTTATATTTGTCTGCATTAAAATTTTAAAAACTTGTTAGAACTGAGCATGGTAGTGCATGCCTGTAATCCCAGCGCCTTAGGAAGCTGAGGCAGAAGGCTCACAAGTTCAAAGCCAGCCTCAGCAATTCAGTGAAGTTCTAAGCAACTAAACATCCCGTCTCAAAATTTAAAAAAGGGGGGGGGGGGGGGGGCTGGGGATGTGGCTCAGTTATTAAGTGTCCTGTGGTTCAATCCCTGGTACAAAAAATAAAAGATAAGATTACCTCTAGATAGGGAACAGGTGTGGGAGGGAACAGGAGGGAGAAGGGGAATAGCATGGATGGTGAAAGGAGACCCTCATTCAAACACATGTATGAAGATGTGAATTTGGTGTCAACATACCTTATATGATAAATTGTGGTATAAAGGTGTATTAAGAATTGTAATGCAAAAATAAACAAATTAATTTTTAAAAAAGATAAAAACAAATAGGAGCTAGGGCTGCAGCTCAGTGGCAGAGTGCTTACCTTGCACGTGTGAGGCACTATGTTTAATCCTCAGCACCACATAAAAATAAACAAATAAAATAAAGGCATGCTGTCCATCTACAGCTACAAAAAATTAAAATTTCAAAAGTAAATAAATAAAAAATTTTTAGGCCAGGCATAGTGGTGCACACCTGTAATCCAGCAACTCAGGATGCTGAGGCAGGAGGATTGCAAGTTAGAAAAGTGCCTCAGTAACTTAACAAGGACCTAAGCAACTTAGTGAGACTGTGTCTCAAAATAAAATATGAAAAGGGCTGAGATGTAGCTCAGTGGTAAAGCACCTCTGGGTTCTATAACTAGTACCAAAAAGAATAAAATTAAAAAACAATTTTTTATTAGTCATGATACTATTAAAAAAAGAAGAAGAAAAACAAGACACAGGCTGGGAGAAGACATAATCAATAAAGAAAATAAATGACCTAACAGGAAACTGGCCAGAAGACAAGAAACAAGAATTGAACAGAACAGGAAATAAGATTGGCCAAAAAATATATGAAAAGATGTTCAATTTCATTAGTAATTATAAAAATGCAAACTGATATGACATTGAGGGTTAGGGATATAACTCAGTGGGAGAGTGCTTGTCTAGCATGTGTGAGGCCCTGGGTTTGACACCCTATCTCTGGGGGAAAAAAGAGATAGAGATACTGAAATATAATTTATATATACAAAATTGGCAAGAAAATTTAAAAGATGATAACATAAGTATTGAAGATACCAATCAAAAAGAAATCTCACTTACTGCTATTGGGTCTGTAAATCTATTCCGTTTACCTTCTTTGAAAAAAAACAATATATTATGTACAACTATAATGCACCAGTTAAAAAATATGAAAAAAAATGTGTCATAAATTTGAATCTGAATACATACTAAGCCCTATACTTCTATATATACACTCTAAACTCTAGAGAAACTATTGCCTATGTGTACCAGAAAGCAGAGACAAGAATGTTCATAGCAGCCTGCTAAAACAGTACAGAAGTCCATTATTAATAAGAAAATCAAGAATTTTTTTAAAAAGTACATATATTATACATATATGTATATATGTGTGTGTGTGTGTGTGTGTATATATATATATGTCTATCTCCATATAATAGAGTACTATACAGAATTTAAAATGAAAAGACTGTCTTTTTTTGTGGGGTACCAGGGATTGAACTCAGGGACACTCGACCACTGAGCCACATCCCCAGCCCTATTTTGTATTTTATTTAGGGTCTCACTGAGTTGCTTAGTGCGTCCCTTTTCCTGAGGCTGGCTTTGAACTCGCATTCTTCCAGCCTCAGTCTCCCAAGTCACTAGGATTACAAGCATGGTGCCTGACTAGCAGACTATATCTTTTTTAAGTATCAACATAGATAAATCTTACAGAACAATGTAGAAAAAAGGCACTGGGATTACAGGCATGTATCATCATGCCCAGCAGAAATGTGTTATTTCTTAAATGTGGTCATGAGTAATAGTATTCATTTTGTTATTCTTTATGCTTGATATATAATTATGCTTTTATATATATATATATGAAGTACCTCCACAAAAATCATTTTCAAAACTTAGTTTTGGACTGGGAGTATAATTCAGTGATATAGTGTATATCAACATGTTCAAGGCCCTGAGTTAAAGCTCCCCAGAACTGGGAGGAAAAATTTAGGTTTGACTCTGTAAATTCAGGTAAAGAGAAAGGTGTGTACCAGGTGAGCTCTCATTTTACACCTCAAAGATGTCACTCTGATATTCATCAAAAAACAGTATTCAAGCCAGGTGCAGTAGCACATGCCTATAATCCCAGTGTCTTGGGAGGCTGAGGTAGGAGTATCCCAAGTTCAAGGCCAGCCTCAGCAACTTAGCAAGGCCCTGTCTTAAAATAAAAAATGAGGGAGAATGTAAGGGGGTAAAAAAATATGGTGAAATAAGATGAATACCATTGCCCTAAGTACATGTATGAAGAAGACACAAATAGTGTGAATATACTTTGTATACAGAGAGATGGAAAATTGTGCTCTATATATGTAATATGAATTGTAATACATTCTGCTGTCATATATAACAATTTAAAATTTTTTAAAAAATAAAAAAATACAAAACGAAAAGGGCTAGGGATGTAGCTAAGTGGAAAAGCAATGGGGAAGCTGGGGTTGTGGCTCAGTGGTCAGTTGCCTAGCACATGTGAGGCACTGGGTTCAATCCTCAGCACCACAAAGAAGAAAATAAATAAAACAAAGGTGTTGTGTCCATCTACAACTAAAGGGGAAAAAAAGCAACCTTCGGTTAATCCCTAGTATTGATCCCCCACAAAAATTCAATTTCTTAGAAAAGCTATAGTTATTAATAATGAAAATCAGTATCTCAACTTACCAGCTTATTAACACGAAGTTTTGAGGAGTTAAATTTGAAGACATCAATTTTCTTATCCAGTGGTTTAATAGTAAACTGAAAGAAGAAAGTAGAAAATAGTTCAATTTGGGGCTAGGGCTGTAGCTCTGTGGTGGAGTGCTTACCTAGCAGGTGTGAAGCACTGGGTTTGATCCTTAGCACGCCTTAAAATAAAGGCATGCTGTCTATCTACTACTACAAAAGAAGGAGGAGGAGGAGGAGAAGGAGGAGGAGGAGGGGGAGGAGGAAAAAGTTCAGCTTGATTGCATAGATTCCTACCACCAACTGGGAATTCCACAAAAGCAGCAACCACGCTGGCCATGGTCCATCATGATGCTATGTCTTGTCCTGGCTTCCTAGTTCCCAGGCTCTAAGCCTCACTGCATTAGGAGAATGGAGAATAGCAAGTCTGGGGTTTTGGAAATTCAGGATCCTAAAGGTATGATTTCTGTACCATATTGGGTGGCTGTGAGGAAGGGATGCTTGGGCCAGCCCTCAAGGCCAACACTGGGAGAGCAGCACAGTCTAAGGCATAGCCCCTGCCTCATGAAGCTCCCAATCTAGTAAGAACCAGACTAACAAGAAATGGCACTCATTGGTGGCACATATCCAAATGTCCTGGGGGCTGAGTAGATCTACCAAAAGTAGAAAGGGACTGGATCTGATCTTAGAATATGACAAAGTAGTTAAAAGGCAGGGTGCAGAGTTGTTCTGGATAGTTAAGAGGAATAAGGGCAGTGAGGAGGAATAAAGTGGAGATGGGGAAAGGGGCAGAGTATGCGTGTGTGTGTATGTGTGTGTGTGTGTGGTGTTATTAGCTTTTTGGGGATTGCAGTGGGCTTAGATGGAGGGAGGCATGGGTGGGCTGGGAATGGAGGTAAGGAATAAAAGAGAGGTTTAGATTTGATGTGATAGGATACAGGGGGTTACTACAGTTCTCTGAATTTGGGCAAACTTGATAAAAGCTCTTAATAGAAGGAATAAAAATATGAAGAAGATAAATGGACTGCTATAGAAGATCAAAACCTAGCTCCTGAAATCAAAGTACAGAAAAAGATGAATGATAAGGCCAGGGTGGCAGCCAAGTAGTACCAGGACCAGATCCTTGACAGAAAGAACAAATATAATTTCCATGCTTAACCATTCCTAAGGGGGCCAAACAGATACTTGATTTCAAAGATTTGTTTTAAACTACATATTCAATTCCAAGAAAGACTGCTTAGCCATCCTTAGCATTGCAGGAGTTAAAAAAAAAAAAAAAAGCATCAGGCTGGGGATGTAGCTCAGTGGTAGTGCACTTGGCCTAATTCACTTGAGGCCCTGGGTTTAGTCTCCCATATCACAAGATGAACAAGCAAAAACCCTAGCTTGATTAGCTGATAAATATGTTGGGGAAGATATATTCCTGAGTATTTCTTTCACATGATATATTTTTCAACAAAGGGTTAGCACATTGAGGACAGAAAATGATCCTTTGTTTAGCTTTTGGCCAAGTTAACTCAGAAGCAGTATAGCTCTTGTGTAGGCTGCTATTTGTAAATTTCATGAGCTTATTTCTGGCCCTGCTGTCAAACCCAGAGGCTGTCAATGGGAAACCACAAGTACTGGGGAAACCACAGGCTCTGCGCCATAGCAGGGTGTACACAAAGAATCAATGGATGACTTAAAATAAACTAACATTTATGTTTTGACAGCATGGCTGTCATGCATAACTACCGAGACTACTTCCTATTATGCCAAGACAGCTTGAGGTCCGCTTACCATGAGTTATCAACAGGATGGAACATGACAGTGTCTGGCCCCTGGAGAGGGTAGGTAGATTAGAGTTTGTTATATCAGGCCATAGTAGGGGAGACTTTAATCCTTGGGGTCTCTAAAAATGAGTGTTTGGGGAGCCTTTAGTTAGCACAAAAATATGTGATGTGCAATAAACAGAGCTTTATGAAATTGGGAGATAAAGAACTACCATACTGTGGTACATCTACTGCTTTAAGTCACATGGAGCTTTCAATTTAAATACTTTCAAAAAAGAACTACCTGATGTTTATTTACCTCCTGAGCTAACTACTTACATAAGCTCCAAGTCAGGATGTTTGGGATTAAGATACTCAATTGGCCTCATCAAGCATGGCTGAGTAGATTACAACACAGAGTGGAAACCAGAGCATGGTGTTCCTTTCCTCAATTTGCTATGAAGGAAGAAAAAAAAAAAACAGGAAATCTAGCCAGGTGCAGTAGCACACACTTATAATCTCGGTGACTCAAAAAACTGCTGAGATGGAGAATCACAAGTTCAAGGCCAGCCTCCTTGGCAACTTAACAAGATCCTGTCTCAAAATAAAAAATGAAGAGACTGTGGATGTACCTCAGTGATAGAGTTTTCCACCACATCCTGCCTTAGATGTGCAAGTACCAGGAAGGCACTGAGCACAGTCCAGGCTGCACTTCCCACCCGCTGGCACCTGGTATCTTGTGCTCTCAAGGGCCCAGCCTCTGGGCCTCCCTGAAAAGCTGGGGCTGTAGCATCAGCCACTCTGCCTCCCAGCTCCTGCCACTCTACTCAGATGCAGGTCACTGTATCCCCTGCACCTCTGCTTCCTGGTGTGACATGGCTACTGAAAATACAGCTCCTGTCTTCACAGCAGGGTTCTTACAAGGATTAAATCAGAGAATCAGAGCAAAAGTGCTTGTAAGTAGAAACTCTCTATCATTGTCATCTTTGTCATTAGTCCTTTCAATTGCACTTATTTATTATATTGGTTGAGTTATTACTTGACTAGAACTTCCTGGGTTGGGTTTTCTTTCCTTTCTTTCTACCTACCTACCTACCTACCTACCTACCTTTCTTTATCTCACCTTCCTCCTTCCCCTCCTCTCCCCCCTTCTTTCTTTCTTTCCAGTGCTGGGGACAGAGCCCAGGGAATCACACATTCTAAGCAAGTAAGTACTCTACCGCTGAGCCACATCCTCAGCCCTGCATCTGATTTTTCCCCCTGTTTTGGCATATTGGCAATTGAACACGTGAGCCTGGGCTTCCTACATCTTTGTCATATGAAACCTAGCACAAAGTAGATTCTCAATGATTCTTTTAAAATAATTCATAGGAGATGTGGGTAGAGTTCAGTGGTAGAGTACCCACCTAGCATGTACAAGGCTCTAGGTTTGATCCCCAGCACAAATGGAAAAAAAAAAAAAAAGGAGGAGGAGGAAGAGGAGAGAGAAGGAGGAATGAATGAATAAATAGAGGATTATAGCAGTAGGGAAAATTCATTAGTATCCTGTATAGGAATATTTGAATCCTATGAATATTCATTATTTATTTGTTTGTTTTTAATATTTATTTTTCAGTTGTAGTTGAATACAATACCTTTATTTTACTTACTTATTTTATGTGGTACTGAGGATCGAACCCAGGGCCTCGCATGTGCTAGGCAAGCGCTCTACTGCTGAGTCACAACCCCAGCCCTGAATATTCCTTATTTAAATTGCCAATGCTGAGAATGATATTGGCCAAATTATATTGTTACATTGGGTGAATATATATCAATATATAACCACAAATCCCATCAATATGGAAAAAATAAAAATAATCACTCAAAAATAAATAAATTGTGAATGCTGTGAGAAATATACACACTAAAATATATATATTATATATATATATAAATATTATATATACATATATATATCACCCCCCCCCACACACACACACACACATAATGGTATGTGTGTGTATCTATGAACATATATATTTTTCCCACCACATGGATCAAGCACTGGACAGAGAAAGAGGCTCAATATAGACTATGCTTAAAATACAAAGAGAATTCATCACCCAAAATAGAAAGCTAAGTAATCAGAAAATATTCCTTTTTTCTTTTTAAGTGTTCTTTTGGGATTTAACCCTGACATGTTGAGCTTCCCATTCTTTCTTTAGTCAATAATGGGGTTTAGTGATGCCCTTTGAAAAAAAGGATGCCAGTTCTGTTCTGTAAATACTTTAAAAATCAACAACCAAAACCCCAAAGCCTGAGAATTAGAGGGCTTTTCCTGATAATAAGGAGATGGCCAAGCTGGGGCAGCTTTGGCAAGCAGGGGAGATGGGAAAAGACATTTTACTGGGCCACTGGCAGCATTTGTATTTCAAACATATCCTACCTCCTTGTCGCTGTATGAGATGTTTCGGATTTCATTCCACGGGAAGGAGATCTTGGGGGTCAGCCTGTTCTCAGGGTCATAGATGTGAAGTCCCAGAGCATCTACTCCAAGCAGCAGCTCTGTGCCCTTTTTATTCTGTACAGTCAATAAAGAGCGGCCACTGTCAACTCCAGCTCAAGATTTTATTCAACTTTCTAAAACCTAGCACACACGGTTACAGCTGACAAGTTTCAACAGGTCCCAACAGAAATCACAGCTGTCTTATAACTCAGGAGGCTTTCAGCTTCCAGGATTGGGGCAGGCAGAGGCACAACTATACCATTGTGACTTGTATATCCCCCACAAAGGTCACTAGGAGCTCCTATCATTGGCTCAATGGCTAAAGGAGGGGCAATCTAAGTGTTACTGCCTCTAATTAATAACCAGATTATCATAGATGTAGAATTAAAACCTGTAGATTTGGGGCTGGGGATGTAGCTCAATGGCAGGATGAGTACTGAGCATAAGTGAAGGCCTTTGTTTGTTTGAAAACACCACCAGAATCCCCCCAAAACCAAGAACATACAAACAATCAAAACCCGTAAGTTTAAATATTTCCCATGTTAAAGAAACAGGTTGGCCAGATGTAGGGGCACATGCCTATAATCCCAGCAACTCAGGAGGCTGAGGTAGGAGGACCAAAACTTTAGTGACCAGCCTCAGCAACTTAGCAAGGCTCTAAACAATTTAGTGAGATCCTGTCTCAAAATAAAAAATAAAAGGGATGTGGCTCAGAGGTTAAGCACCCCTGGGCTCTATCCTCAGGACCAAAAAGAAAGAACAGACTGTTGGATTACTGGAAAATTTTATATGTCAGGACTAGATGGTCTCATTTTAGGTTACATTCAGTCTCAATGTAGTCTTACTGTACTATACTCAAGGCTGATAAAATGTTAATTGTAGAAACTCGTTAGTGAGTATATCTGGGTATTTCCTCTATGTTCGAAATATTTAATAACTAAATGTTAGAAATAAATGTCTGATGAATTATATATAAATTAATTAAATTTAATATATATATATATGTGTGTGATACTGAAATGTCATGCTACTTCATAAACTAAACAAGTATCTAAAGAGTATTCCATTATAAAGCAAAGTTTTAAAAGTTTCATTAATTTTATTTCTTAAATTTTTGGATCAATAAGCTGTTTAAAAATTTAATTGGCTGTATGTATGTTATACCTCTGTCAGCCATCCTGGTCAGCAGTCCAGAAAGCTGGGAGCAAGTGTCCTGGGCCCCGCATCACTGACTCGGCTACGGATCTGTCAGCCATGTCCTCAAGGACAGGCTCACCTGCCAACACCATGGTCCAGCTCTTGTCTGGCAGAAGAAAGAAACTCCCCACACAAGGACACTATAGCTCCTGACCCCATGCTGACAACAAGGAAATTGAACCAAGACTCAAGGGTAGGAAAACAGATCTGCAAACTGAGAAGGTGCTTGGACTGTGACAAGAAGTACCAATCTAACAGCAGGTGTCAGATGGAGAAGCGAGTGCTCTAAGATAAATCTCTTTACTCCTTCTAACACCTGAAGTTAGGCGCTATCACCAAGCTATGAGAGAATCTCCTGTTTGTCTGCAAAGCTTTTAAAATAACTGTGTTAGCAAAAATGAGGCTCTGTACTCTTACATCTATAGCACATTTTGGAAAATGAGATATTCCATTATGTTTCTGATTATTGAGTTTAAATTAAAAAAATAAATAAACATATTTTGCCCACTGCCTCCTATCATCATGACTCTGACACTTCCATACATTAAACGAGAGATGGGAACACAAGCAGCTCCTTTTAAATTATTTTTATCACATAGTATCCCTCTATATTATAATTTTTTATGTTTTATATATCAGTTAAAAATAAATTTTAATTTTAAAAAATTATTTTAAGCATATATCTCCCTTAGTTAATGATGAAATTTAGGAACTCTAACAGCAAAACCTCTAAAATAATCTTTAACCTAGTCTATTGATCAATATAAGAAATGTACATACTCAATAGTATACATTAGCCTGACTAATGTAGACATAGTACCTGATAAGAAACTGTTTTTTGAGGATTATAAAATCCTAGTTTAAAGAATCTAGGTGGTAGGCACATGGGACAAGAGTAGCTGGGTTGACAAAACTAGTGTTCTGTTAAATTAATTTGACCTTAAAAAGGGCAGGGGGGTGGGGCTGAGGTTGTGGCTCAGCGGTAGAGCGATTGTGTAGCACATGTGGGGCCCTGGATTTGATCCTCGACACCACATAAAAATAAAACAAAGGTATTGTGTCCAGCTACTTCTAAAAAATAGATATATAAAAAAAAAAAAGGCTGGGGGCTTGGGTTATGGCTCAGTGGTAGAGTACTTGCCTGGCATGTGTAAGGCGCTGGGTTTGATTCTCAGCACCGCATATAAATAAATAAAAATAAAGATCCATTGACAATAAACAAAATACATTAAAATAAAAAAACAGGGCTAGAATTGTAGCTCAGTGGTAAAGTGCTTACTTAGCATGTGTGAGGAACTGGGTTTGATCCTCAGTACCATATAAAAATAAATAATAAATAAAGGTATTGTATGCATCTACAACTAAAAATATTTTATAGAGCTTATGTTTTATTTATTTATGTATATGTGGTGCTAAGGATTGAACCTCAGGGCCTCACACATGCCAGGCAAGTGCTCTACCACTGAGCCACAACTCCAGCCCCTAAAAATATTTTTTTAAATGAAGAAACCAAACAATTAGCAAATACTAATTAATGAAATTTTAAAAAGCATATTCTAGGCACCTGTTTAGTATATGAAATAGCATAACATTTCAGTGTGCTTATTTGTTATGCAAGTAATCCATCAAAATCTGTATTTAGAAGATAAATAAAGTAAAAAGCTATTCTAGAATACTGAAAATGTTTTAATTTACCCAAATTTAGTACAAATGTTATAGGAACTTGCAAAGAGGAAAGCAAAGCATAACTGTAGTCATAAAGGTAAACCACTGTGGCAGATGTTTTTTAACATCTACTCATCTACCAGTGGTGAAATGCCTGGACACATCACATGTATTCCTTTGGAAGAAGCTGCTGATACACTGCGTCTGCCACCCAAACCCACCCACAGGAGAAAGGCAGGCTAAAAGGCCAGACTTTGGCTGCACACAAAGGCCTCTCTCTGAAGAAGCAATGGGTTCCCAGAGGAGGGTAGATCATTAATGTCTGAATAGAAAAAAATAATTAGCTTCATAGAACAAGAGTCCCACCCAAACAAATCAGTAATCTATAAAAGTCGCTTCACTCTCAGTGGGCCTTGGGGAAAGAGTATTTCCGGGTGCTCTCTGGATCTCACAGAGCTTGAAATAATCAAATGTTACACTCCCAGCATTCCAACAGGCTCCTGCTAGGAAGCAAAGCGAAGGCCCCAGTCCCCCAAGGCTCCACAGCCACTTAATTACCTATGATCTAATCTGAAGTCCAAAAATAGAAAATCCAAGCTCTAAGACCCTTTCCCTTTGTCTTTTATTCTTTACCACTGAACCACAAAAGACTACCACCCTGGGATACAGAAGTAACCCGTTTTGACCATCTGGTTCAGCATCTAGTTGCTAGCCGGGGAACTCAGGAAGTTCAACACACCCGAATTGCAAAGTAGTTCACACCATACATCTCCAGGTCCTGAGCTATCTTCAAGTACTCCATTTCAGCTTCATCCCTGTGAGGAGAATGGAAGACATTGTCACTGGAGCTAAGCGGCAAGGGTAGAGGGCAGGTACCCGCCAAGCTGAGCATTCTGAATCTGCAACTTCCCTGGCCCCATACTGGCAAAGTTCTTCCCAACCCTGAGTCTATTAAACACAGCAGAATTTCTCATCCCAGTAAAAACAGGAAAACAGATTCATTATGCTGTCTCTTGGCTTCAATTTCACACTTTGACCTTGGTAAATGGTGACATTTGTCTCAAGTGATTCAAGTAAAGTACATGGGGGCTAGGGATGTAGCTTGGTGGTAGAGCACTTGCTTAGCATGCACAGAGCCCTGGCTTCAAGTCCCAGCATGTCAAAAAAAGAGAAATACATAGTAATGTTATCTTCTATCTTTAAATGGGTCTAGATATTCAAATTTTATTTAAGTTGTTGCCTTATCTTTGTGTACTTCCTTAACTTAGAAGGTTTTGGTAATGAACAACTCTTTCTGCAAGCCACCTGACAGCTACTTTCCTGATTTTATTTCTTGACGTATTGTTGGAGGTTAGGGCAAGAGCTATTGGGACTGTAAAACCCAAGCCAGGTCACCTCCTTCCAAGTTATAAGTCAAATTTAAAGGAAGCTCTTGAAGCAGCAATGACTTGCAGAAAACTCCCAACTAGGTAATGGTATTGAAATATTTTAACTGGAGTCTCCCTGTGACCTTGTCCTTTTCCCTCTTGCTCTGATCTCAAAATGCTCTCAAATGGATTTTAAAAATTCACCCTGAGAGAACGCCAAGTGTTGGCAAGCAGGTGGAGGAACCAGAAATCACACACACTCCTGATATAAATTGATACAATTACTTTGGGAAATTGACATTACTGTAACAGCAAAAACCAGGAGACAACTGAACAACCTCAATGTCCTTCAATAGTAGAATGGATAAATAATTTGTGGTGTATTAACACAGTGGTATTCTGCACAGCCATGAAAATGAGAAAATTATTGCCACATGCCACAAGCCCAAATCTTGCAATATGATGCTGAGTAAAAGAAATGAGGAACGAAAAATAGAAACTGACTGTATTTATCTAGAGTTTAAAATGGGCAATGCTGGGCTAGGGGTAAAGCTCAGTGACAGGGTGATTGCCTAGCATGCAAGAGGCCTTGAATTCAATCCCCAACACTGCAAAAAAATAAAATAAAATAAAATGGGCAATGCAAATCTATGGAGTTAGAAATCAGGGAATCAGTTACTTTTGGAGGAAAAGGAGAGTAGTTATGGGCTATTTCTTCTCGAGGGTAGATGGTGTTTTCACTTTGTGACAATTGATCAGGCAGTACACTTATAATTTGTCTACTTTTGGGTATTCATATAACATATTTTTAAAAGTAAAAAAAAAAAAAGACACATGATAGGAAGCTAATTTAAAGAAGAGATTAAAAAAATTTAAAGGCTAATGCAAAGATGATCAATTCCTACAGTGACCAGCGGAATGCTAATTTTAACAATATGAATTTTCACCTTTTAGTTTACAAAAATTATAGATTGATAAACTTTGTAAACTAAACAAGTGCTGAGTATAGACTGGAGTGGGCTGACTTGTTACCAACAGGAAAAGCCTTTTGGAAGGGCAATTTGGTGGTACCTTTTAAAACACAAAATGTTCACATCCTTTATCCAGCCATTTCCTTCTGAGAATCTATCCTTACACTACTCATACAATTGTGGAACAATATGAGCTAGGCACTTCAGAACTTTTTGTAAAAGTGAAAAACCTACAGATACTCCAAATGCCATCAATAGAGGGCTGGATGCAACAGCAGTGCCTATCTATACAATATAAATCTTAAAATTGAACTAAATTACCAGTGAATGCATTAGGTCTGTACATCCTGACAGGCAGTACATATGCCACTTGACACCAATGTGCTACAGAAAAGATGCACATGAAACTGAAGACTGACATGACTCTCAGCTCCCCCTTTGTCTTTATATACTTCAGTACTGTATTTTGTTCAACAGACCTGTCCTAGTTTTGCAGTTCTTTAAGGAAAAAAAAAAAAAGGCCATAAGAATGTAAACAATTAAGGGACCTTACCTGGCTCGGCCTCGGTGCTCTGCATACCAAGCTGTAATTCTCTCCTCCCACATTTCTGGAGTCATCTGATATAGATTTATTACCTACCCAAAGAGAGAAAAATAAAATCTACACACAGGGCTAGATGTGGTGGTGCAGACCTATACTCCCAATGATGCAGGAGGCTAAGGCAAGAGGGTCACGAGTTCACAGCCAGCCTCAGCAACTTAGCAAGGTCCTAAACAATTTAGTGAGATCCTGTCTTAAAATAAAAAATAAAATGGGCTGGAGATGTAGCTCAGTGCAAAGCATCTCTGGATTCAATCCCCAGTACCAAAAAAAAAAAAAAAAAAAAAGTACAAAAATCAGAATCTATAGATAATATGATATAGGGACCAGAAATGTAGTTTATTTATAGTGTGTGCTTAGCATGTACAAGGCCCTAGGTTCCATTTCCAGAACCAAAATAAATATATAAATGAATAAATTGTTTTTAAAGATCTACACACAAAGTAAGTTTGGGTATTTTTGCCATTTTTATAATTATGCATCATTTTTACAAAATAGCAAAGCTATTTTTAAAAAGGCTGCACACAGGGAAGAGTCATACGCAGAAGTAGGTGTGTAAACAAGCAAAATTCAATTGGAGGAACAGCCTGGAAACTGCAGAACTCCTCAGGCCTCAGTGCACGCCGGGGCTGGCAGCAGCCCCCCTTTCCTGCCTGGGCTGTGTATCCCAGAGACCACCTCTGATAGTGAAGCAATGCTCACTAATCCTGTGCCTTTGTCTGCATGGAAGCCATCAAAGGACAGGCAAAGGCCAGGAAAGGTGAGAAGCAGACCTTTATTACCCACTGACAGATGAGTGGGGCCATAAAATCAGAAGCAGCCAAAGGGAAGGAGGGCCTGCTTCTGTGGCTAATGAACAAGATGAACAATGCTGAGGATTAAAAATCACAAGGCCCACCCCTACCTCACCTTTATCCACCCCTTGAGGCTGCAAACGGCTTAATTCCCACTGAACACAAACTGCTTCATACACCCTCCTGGAAATCAGTGCCACTCAATCACCTTTAAAGAAATCACCACACTAGAGAAACAGGCCATGCTCATCCCAGCAACACCAAACTAACCTTTGCTTTCTCATATACTTAACAGAGATGCCATTCTCTTTACTCAAGATTTATTCATTACAAAGTATTTAGGAAAATGCGCTTGCCATATACTGCCAACATTTCTTTAAATCATTTGGTTAGCTTTCTTTAAGACCACGTCTCTGCTATGTTTCCACAAAAAGAAAATTTGATTTCTTACCCTTTTTGGAAGCAATTCTTCTTGGGCCAAAAACCCCCGTTTGTGCACTGAGGGGTCGTAGTCACCATACTGAAAGGAGAAGAAAGGAGAGCAGGTGATTGAGATTCTAAAGACTACTGCCATTTCTGAACAGGGCTCTACTTAGTCTTATTCCCTTCTCCCAGCTCCCGGGAGCAATTCAATTCCGATGACAAGTCAAGATTGCAACCTTGCTAGTTTGTTATCCTTGAATGAAAATACAAAGCTGATTATATCTATGAACACAGTTGCAAAATCCCTCAAGGCGATGGATGGGCATGTGCTAATAAGAATGTGACATTTGTATGGAAATGTAGTCATGTTTTCTAACTCTGGAAGAAAGCAGTCACTTCTAAAATGTTAGTTTTTAAATGGAAACAACAAAACACAACTGTGAAAGTTGTGATTAGCAAGGTGTGATAAGAGTCTTACCTACAAATGCTTCTAAGTGGCTGGTAATTGGAGCCAATTGCTAGGTGGGAGCTGGGAATAATGCAGACAATACTTTTAATACCTTTCACTCAAGGCTCAGAAAAATGCTTTGGAAAAATCTGATGTTAACACTGTCATTCCTACTGTACAAAGAAACAAGTAAAAGGTTAACTGATTTTGCAAAAGCTGCACAGCAAGTCACTACTGGGGCTGGAAATAGGTCCTGCATTTTAATTTATTCCTCCAGGGACAATGACTTAGAAATTTGTTCTCTACTTAAAAAAGGAAAAAAGTGTTCTTTTCTTTATTAGAAAATTTAAGCCTGATCAGAAAGTCATCAAAAATGAAACAAGGGGGCTGGAGATGTAGTTGATGGAGTACTTGCCCTGCAGCACGTAGGAGATGCTGGGTTCGATTCTCAGCATCACCTAAAAACAAAACAAAACAAACAAACCTAGAGAGAACCCAGGTTTCTCCCTACTTCTAAAAGGCCCAGAGACATAAAAAGCCCTAACAGTATGGTTCTTTACTAGTATTTCAGAGGTAGCTGCAGAATACAAGTAAGAGGCTATGCATACTTAAGTTTTCACCCCAGCTCTTTCACTTGGTAGCTAGACGAACTTAGAAAACTTTCTCTTCCGTAAAATGGGGATATCTTACAGGACTCTTGTTTGGATTAAATGAAATAATATCTGTAAAGTTTTAAAAACCATCTTTGACACATACAACCAGATGTCAAAGATCTCAGGCCCCTCCAAGACTGTTTTCCTATTGTTCAAATGAGAACACTGGCCTTGGAGGATCTAGAAGGGAGCTCTGGAGTATTGCCACTGTGGTTTAAAGTAAGGTGCCCTCTATCCAAACCTCAGCTTCCTTATCTGTAAAGGAACGGGTGTAAAAGCACCTAGCAACGAGGGTGAAGTTAAGCAGTACAGGCAAGCCTTTAGCTCAGTGCCTGGCTCCTGGTGGAAGTCAGCTATGATTATTATTGGTATCCTCTGCATTATTTAGGTTATCACCTGTCACTGTTTGCCTCCCCAGTTTTTGAAGGCATCTGATGCCAAAGAAAGCCCTATTAGTTGCATTTCCAAACCTCTCAATAATGCCCACCAAACTTGAATGCAAAAGTAAGCAGATATGCAAAGTTAAAGTTGTAAATTCAGGTTCTTGCAAGATTAACGGTCCCCATTATTAAATTATACCAAGCTCCCAGCTATTCCACTGATCAAATATATTACAGCTGAGCAATGCAGAGGTAGCAAAGACTGCTGCAAGGACTACTCCACTAGACTAACTCCACTCACAACATTAAAGCCACCTTGATGTATGTGCCTGCTCTTAAATGTCTCTTTAAAAAACAAAGGGGGAAAAAATTCTGAAATTGTAGCAGTGGTGAATATAAAAAAGTCAAATCACTCTATGGATGGAGATGGCAATTCCTCATCCTTTTATGTAACAGATGCATTCTGATAATATATCCAGGGTGAATTTACTGTGAGGGTAAGAAGTTGAGATTTCAGCTCTCTCTACCTGCATGGGTCTCTGCCTAATTTTAAGAGTCATGATTTGGTATTCTTTATTAAAGAAAAGTCCCTGAATTATATAAACTTCAGGTCTACAATACCTGGATCTACACCTGATATAAAATAATTGAACTTAAATTCAAGAAGGGAGCACACCATTTAAAGGACTCTTGGGGTATTTAATTATTTTTTTTTTCTTTTTGTGGTGCTGGAGATCAAACCCAGGGCCTCACACATGGTAGGCAAGCACTCTGCCAATGAGCTTCATCCCCAGCCCCTATAGTCTTAAGTGGGACTCTTTATGGATATTAAATGATTTCCTATATTTTTATGTATGTAAAATCAGGTTGTTGTAAGGGACAGATGAGGCAGGGTACCGAAGATAGCAGGAAACAGTTTTATTTGGCTGCAGTCAGGTTCAGAGGGCACAGCTTTCTCTGTAATCAATTAATCCCCTGAACCCCAAGTTCAGGTAGTTTCAGAATTTTATACCCAGCATGTAAGGGGAGGGGCTCAGAAGTTCACAATCTGCAGAAGTTCACATAAAAACAGCTTTTTCTTTCACTATTCTGGGCGAGTTAACCCTTCAAGGACAACACCTGAGAAGGGGAGAGCTAGACAAAATGGACAAAAGATCAATACCTTTTTTTTCCTCCCCCTGCCAGCTGTTATCATGGAGCCCAACTGGTAACTTTGCTTACCTTAGAAATGTAGGCATCTCTGTGAAGCTCCAGCTCAAGGCCAGAGGCCTTGCTAAAGGATCTTTTTTTTTTTTTTAATCACATTTTGCATTTGCAAACAACTTCTTACAAACTACTATCCTGGATAAATGTTTGTGAAAAACAAGTAAAGGGACGTTCAGCACTTGGAGTGCTGATTTCTTCCAGGCCAGTGGCCAAATAAAATGGAGCAATAGGAAAATTAGGAAGTTTACCTACACTGAACTCTTTTGTAGAGACTCTTTTGCTGATAGTCCTAAAATCAATTATGGTGAAGATTTCTGGAGAAGCTTAGTTAAGATTTTCTGTGGAAGAGGGGGTGCCACTACAAGGTTGAATATTCTGACCAGGATTTCACAAAACATAAAGATTTGCTTAAGGAATATATAGAAAAATGGATCCCTATCACTAAAAGTCACTAAATTCCAGATGGATTAAAGACTTAAACCTATGAATGAAAATCCATAAAAACATCAGAACAAAATAGAGAGCATGTATATAATAATGGTTGGTGAAACCATTCTATGTGACTCCAAACAACAACAAAAGACATATGTGATATGTAAAACAGACAAAAGGTTGATACCTGCAACAGATGGTGCTTCAATAAATCAATCAGAAAAAGATAAGCAATACAGTAGAAAAAGGTACAAGTCATAAACAGTTGATTCACAAATAAAAGAAACACAAATGGTCAGTAAATCTATGAAAAGATTATCAACCCAGATGACAATCGAGGAAGTACAAATTTTTTAAAATCTTTTTTTCTTTCAGGCTTAGTGGTACACTCCTGTACTCCTAGCACCTCAGAAGGCTGAAGCAAGAAGGTCACAATTCAAGGCCAATTTTAGCAACTTAATGAGACTCTGTCTCAAAACAAAGAATAATTTTAAAAAGAGGAGTGAGGGGCTGGGGATATATAGCTCAGTTGGTACAGTGCTTGCCTCATATGCACAAGGCCCTGGGTTCAATCCGCAGCACCACAGGGGGGAGAAAAGGAGGGGCAGGGAATGTCACTCAGTGATAGAGCACCCCTAGGTTCAATTCCCAGTACCACATTAAAAAAAAAAAAATCTAGTTTCCTATCAGATTAGCAAAAATTTAAAAGACTGATAGCATCTACTATTGGAAAGGATGTGCAAAAACACGTCATCTAATGCACTATTGCTGAAAGTATTCTTTCAGAGAGTAAGTTCAAATTTGAAGTTTTTAAAATTTTTATCTATATCTATTTGAAACTTTTGAAATAAAATCTACATACGTAAAATTTACTATATTAAGTGAATGATTCAATGGTTTTTAGTATATTCAGAATGTTGTATAACATTCACTAATTCCAGAACATTACCATCACCCTCAAAACTGAAATCCCATACCCACTAGCAGTAATTCCTAAATTTCTAACTCCTCCCACCCCCTACAACCACTAAATCTACTTTCTGTCTCTGTGGATTTGCTTAGTATAGACATTTCATTTAAATGAAGTCATATGATATGTGGCCTTTTTGTTGGGCTTCTTTAACTTAGCTTTACTTAAATTTTAAATGTTCTTATCCTTCAATTCGGTTGTGCCATTTCTTTTGGTATTTATCATAACAGAATATTAGTAATATATGCCCAAAAGGGAAAAATACAAGGATGTTCACTGCACCTGTTTAAATAAATAAATAAACAAACAAACAAACAAAACAAAAAACCCCACGAAGATACCTTTAAATAATCCACAGTTCCTCCCTTTCATGATATACTGTACAGTAGGTAAAAAATAAGGCAAGGGCTTTGGCTGTGGCTCAGTGGGAGAGCACTCACCTAACATGTGTGAGGCACTGGGTTCAATTCTCAGCATCACATAAAAATAAATAAATAAAATAAAGGCATTGTGTTCAACTAAAAAAAAAAAAAAAAGAATAGGCAGGTCTATCTGTTCTGACAGTTTTAAATGAAAAGGAGCCACGTATTATATGATTTCATTTATATTAAATGCCCAGAACAGGCAAGTTCACAGGGACAAAAAAGCAGATTAGCAGTTGTCAGGGTACAGGGGTGGGAGGGAAGCGGTTAGGGGAACCTGCTAGTGGCCGTGGGATTTCTTCTGGGGGTGATGGAAACATTCTGGAATTAGGCATTACTAATAATATCAAACACCTTTTTATTGTATTTATGGGCCATTCTTACTTTCTTTTCTATAAGACCCCTATTCACATGCTTCATGCCCATTATCTTTTTCCTATAAACGTAAGACTTCTTTGTATTTAGGTAGACTTTTTTTTGTCAATTCTATTAAATTCTACTTCTAGAAATTTGCCTTAAAGGGGGGAAAAAAACTTTTGTGCATGCATATGAGGAACAATGTAGGAAGATTTTCAGCAAAGCACTGTTTATAATAGGGTAAAAGTAGAAACAATCTACCTCTTCTCGGTGGATATAAATAAACCATGTTTATTTACGAATGGTACCAAATAGCAGTTCAAATCAAGGAGCTACACCTACACATACAACATGGATACATCTCAAAATCCAGGCTGAATGGGGACAATATATCAATTTGTAAAAGGATATGCAGAGTATAGCACCACTTAATCAACTTTTACCTCCTATGTATTTTTAAGTCAATCTGTTCCTATCCAACCAACCATTGCCCACTTTAATTCAATCTCACTGTGTCAATACTGGGAAATTTAGGCTCTGTCAAAAAAATAAATCCTTCACAGGCTCTGAGGCACCCATAGGATAAAATTAAAACCTTTTATGATCTGTTCCTCTAGAGATATCTCCAGCCTCAATCTATGCCAGTCTCTACCTATACTCAGTGTTCTAACTGACTTGCATTTTGGCACTAATCATATTAAAGAGAAAAAGGAAAATTAAGCCTCCTCTCCCACCATTCTTTTCTTCCTTCAGAATGTGAAAAGTCTGCATGTAGCACCAGAAGCCTTATAAATCACATACCATTCTCTTCCAAAGTCATTTTTAATTAGGACATATTTCAAACCCTAAATTATCAATATAAAATCCAACAGGTGTTTTAAACATTGCAAGATGGTGGTGTCGTGTGACTGGACCAAAGAAATCCTTCCCATACTTTTGATTCCAGCATAACTCAACTCCAACCAAGAAATATGGTTCTTGTTAAAACTGAACCATGTGATTAATATTTCTATTCATACCTTGAGAGGAATTGTTTCTTTATGCTTTAGAATCAACTGTGTCTATATCATTCAAATAGCTGAAATACTATAATGAATACATTTGTGCATAATTACATTCCATGTGTTAATGAGCTCAGTTCGCTTTCCCCTCCATACTTCGAAAGTTCCTTTCTGCTTCAGAAAGGTTGTGAAAGAAAACAAGCTGCATACTGGGGGAACCAATATGACTTAATGAAAAGCTTGTGATCACATAAATGAAACTACAATTAGTGAAAGGCAATGTCTGATCTCCATAGACCTTCCTCTCACTAGACAGTGAAGGATGAGAGCAAAGTGCTAATTCAGGCAGCTGGAACACCAACGTCCCCAACCCAGCTCCTCTCGGCTTAAAATCCTTTCCATCAAGAAATGGGCAATAGCCAAGCATGGTGGCGCATGCTATAATCCCAGCGGCTTGGGAGGCTGATGCAGAAGGATCATGAGTTCAAAGCCAGCCTCAGCAAAATCGAGGTACTAAGCAACTCAGTGAGACCCTGTCTCTAAATAAAATACAAAATAGGGCTTGGGGATTTGGCTCAGTGGTTGAGTTCTCCTGAGTTCAATCACTGGTGTCCCTCCCAGCCAAAAAAGAAATGGGTATAGGACTGGGGTGTAGCTAAGTGGTAGAGTGCTTGCCTAGCATACACAATGCCTGGGGTTCAATCCCCAGCACTGCAAAAAAAAAAGAAGAAACAAACAAAAGAAAGAGAAAAATAGATGGGCTATACCCTCTGTAAAACAGAATTAACTTAAAATTATTGTGACTTTGGACAAATCATCAATATTTTCCGAGCCTTAAATTCTTCATCAGCAAAACAGGCACAATACTCTCTAGCTTGGCTTCCAGAAAAGACTACATTGAGTAATTTGCAAAATATTCTTGTTTCAGCACTTTGGCAAATGCCACAAGCCAGGCATGGTGGCACACGCATATAATCCCAGCTATTCTGGAGGCTGAAGCAGAAGGATCACAAGTTTGAGGTCAGCTTGGGCAACTTAATGAGACCCTGTCTCAAAAAAATTAGAAGGACTTTTTTGTAGCCCAAAATGAAAAATAAAAAGAGTAGCCCTGGGTTCAATCCTCAGTACTACAAATAAACAAACAGAACAACAACAAAAAAAAGCCCAGTATGAACATGTAAAGTCTTATTAATATTATAATCAGATATATCTCCTTTTAATATTAAACAGCTCCTAGAAACTGGAAGCATGCTACAGTGAGAATTTCCCCAGTGCAGATTTAAGCCATAGATTACCTTTATTTGTAAGATCCTTAAAATTTACACCGGAAAAAATAGTTAGAACATCCTCCTCCATATGAACCACATATGCTGTCTGTGAATCACTTTCATCTCCAAATTAGTAGAATCCAAATTAGTAGGGCTTTCCTACAGTGAAATCTGTTTAAGCAAACATCTGCTGGTTCCCAGAAAAGTGATTTTTTCCCCCCACAGGTGGCCTTTGAATTTGTGGCCTAAAATCCATATTAAGAAAATATAGCCTTTGTGACCAAGGTAGTGTCCTTGAAAGCTTGGGTCTCCCCTAAACTAGAGCAAAAATGTACAAAAGAGGACTCCACTCTGGGCCAGGCAGTGCCCAGATTTAATGAAAGTGACAATGACTGCTTCATCACTGTTGGGGCGATACTGATTGAAAGGACACATTTTTCCTGTTACTAATATTCTTGATCAAAGCATAAAAGGAAGCATATGTTTTAGTTGAATCAAGGCCCATTTTCTGTTTTCTCAATTACTCATTTTTCAGAGAAGTGGAATAGGGGAGGCACAAAATGCAATCCCAAAGCCATGAATTCTGTCCTTAGCATTACCCAAGATTGTGTGAATGACCTTGGGCAAATCACAAAGGGCAGATAGTGCTTCAGCGCCTACATCTTTAACAGTCAACAAACCCCCTCCCTCAGGCCTGGTGAATGCTCAGCAAATATTCCACGAGTCATCATATGATGAAGCTGTGTTTCTATTGGTGTGATCGTCAAGACAACATACAGCCTTCCCCCACTCACCCACTCAAATGACAGACCAGTTACTTCCTGGCTTTGATCTGAAATTGTACCAAGCTACCCAAAAAAAGTGAGCGAAGAAGAATGTCATATTGATTTTTCTAACACAACAGGGGTGGCTTTACAGATACCTGTAATGAAAAAGGAAAATAACTGAAAAGATTATGCTTTACAATCACAAGTCATCAGTGTCTGAGGACATCTTATACTTCAGTGAAAGGCAGGAAGCTGGGAGACTAGGAGAAGGTGGTATGTGAGTGAAATGGGAAATCTGAGGGACATGAAGTACCCTGGGCTAACTCTCTTGTTGGTCTTAAAAAAATAGAACGGAGGGCTGGGGATGTGGCTCAAGCGGTAACGCGCTTGCCTGGCATGCGCGGAGCCCTGGATTCGATCCTCAGCAACACATAAAAATAAAAAAAATAAAGATGTTGTGTCCACCAAAAACTAAAAAAATAAATATTAAAAATTTCTCTCTCTCTCTCTCTCTTTAAAAAAAAAAAAAAGAATAGAAGGGACAAAAACCCAAGATGGGCCAGGGTTGTGGCTCAATGGCAGAGCAGTTAGAAGATTAAAAAGACACACCACATGTGAGGCATTGGGTTCGATCCTCAGCACCACATAAAAATAAATAAGATAAAGGTGTTGTGACCATCTACAACTAAAAAATAACATTAAAACAAAACAACAGGGGCTGGGGTTGTGGCTCAGCGGTAAAGCACTCACCTAGCACATGCGAGGCCCTGGGTTCGATCCTTAGCACCACATAAAAATAAATAAACAAAATAAAGGTATTGTGTCCAATTAAGAAATAAATATTAAAAAAAAAAGAAAAGAAACACAGACTTGGTGATGTTCCTCTCCTATCTCTCCTGGTCTGTAGTGAGTGAATGAAAGTGAATGATTTTCAGCTAGCTGGACAGCTCCACAGGCAGAGTCTAGCCACACAATCAGTGCGCATGCCCCTGAGAGGTGAAGAAGGCAGGGCTGTGTGTGAGGGTGTGGCGGGGTGCCTCCACATAGGACAGCTGGCTTTTAGAAGACGGAGGGAGAATCTGGGCTCTTTTGACCTAAAGGCCACGTTTGGTCATAACTAGAGATCGTAAATTCATTTTTCCTGGTTAATAAATAGAGGTTGGTGTGGTGAATGTAATGACCCACATGTGCATAATGAAATTTCACAGAAAATTTATCTTTCTGAATGAATTCCCGTAGAATGAATTCTATTTCATTAGAAGGATACACTTATCATTTGTACATACAAACACACATATGCCCACATACAGAAATTAGGACAGTGACAATGGATTCCGCTAATCCACAAGTCTTAGGACATCTCACTTCCTAGGACAAGTCTTTGTTGAGAAAATCCAAAGAACCAGAAGATAGGAGCCATCCTGTGACACAAGTTAATGTCCAGGAAGTTGCATTTTTCTTCTTTGAGCCTACCTTGGCCTGGACAGCATAAGAAGCCAGGAGCACAGAAGCCTCAGGAGGGCAGTAGATCTTTTCCTCTAAAATCTGCTTCTTCACCTAAAAGGGGCAATGAGGGAGACATGAGACTGTGCGCAAGGAAGTGAGTTGCGCAGGCTGGTCACAGCAGATGGCTGCAGGGTGTTCTAAATGAAGGCTGTCAAGGCAGCCTGTTAATGATTTTCTGACAAAGGGGACAATTTTTTTTTTTTTTTTTTTAACTGCTGCAGACCACTTGAGAGTTCAGTCACTGAGAAGTTACTGCTAAGATGGCTACACATAAAACCCCCCTCATCTTGGACTGGGGGATGCGGCTCAGTGGTAGAACACTTGCCTAGCAATGGGTTTGATTCCCAACACTGTAAAAAAAAATAAATAAATAAACAATACTCATCTCTTCAAGATCAAGGCTGAAGAGTAAATGTGATCTTCATGGTTATTACAGAGACTGACATCTGGGCTGTGGCAGAGAGGTGTGAACTAGAGAAGCGTCAGGAGCCCTCTGAGGATGACTACAGCCTAGGTCTCTGCTGAGCACTCAGAGCATGGAGGAAATGAAGTCTACTTTTAAGTCTAAAGACAAAAGCTACCAAGGCAATGAGTTATGACTGCAGAAAAAAACATCACTTTCAATGTGCTGCTCTAAGGAAAAAGGAAGCAATAAAATTTGATCGATTCAACACTTTTAAGTACACGTGAGGTTCAGGAAATATAATTCCTAAGCCATAGTGTTGAATTAACATATTTCATTGCACTTAATTTCTTGGAATGGTGCAGTGTATGATCCTGACACAAAAGCAAGAAAACTGCATGATGCGGGGCACACTAAAATAAACACAAAAGGAAAGCCAACTCTTTTTACAGATGTCAACAGTCACCAGATTCATAAAAGTAGTAAATTTTGCCTTGTTCTGTTACAAAAACACCCTAACATTTCAATGAAGGAAAATCAAACTAAAGTCATACGAGGGATAGATTCTGCTTCCAAGCACTTACAGGAATGCCATTTCTATAACATTAAGACATTCAGGGACCTTGGAGGTCTTTATGTGCCTTCATTCACACAAAGAAATTCTTTCCAGGTTTTAAAACTCATTTTATATTCTTACAAAGAAAATGAAACCTGAGCTGTTTTGAAGCAGTGCAACTTTTCAAATCCTTGGATTCTTTTCAAAGGAAAAAGAAAAAGAAGTCACACTACAGAAAAACTGAAAGGGCTATCTTTTGACTTGAAAATACTGGAAAGAAATCTGACACATACTCTGTGCGTGTGTGTGTGTGTACGTGTTTGTGTGCATGCGCACATGCACATGAGAAGACCTTTTGGTAAAAGAAATTATTTAGGGGGCTTATTACATTTCACTTAATATTTACCAAACACAATATTCTGAGGCTCAAATTAATTACAAGGATGCTGTGACAGACCACATGTCTACTTCTGGAGAAATCATATAATTAACAACCTTGCTGTAATCTTAACGTCACTGTCAGTGGGCACCTTTGGTCACACAGGCAGCCCTGGTGCCAATCACTGCAACTAGCCACAAAATCAGGGAGGTGCTCTGGCCACAAGTAAGCACACAGGCAAAACTGACAAGATTTCCATCATCCTCTAATTCCCCTCCCCATCCCCCTAGAGGGTCAATAACCTATAATTACGTATCTCCTAATTTCTTCAATTTGGATGAGTGATTACTTAGGAATGCCTACTGAACACTTGATGACTTTTGCTTTTAAGGGGCTTACACTCCAACAAGGAAGCAAAGGAGCAAGCAGACAATTATAGAACAAGATAGCATGAAGTAGAAAGCTGGAAGTATCACAGGCACGAGACAAATCAAGCATCACCAGCATTTTGAAGTTCTGTCTTAATGAGATCAGATTTTGAGCTAGGGAAGAACTACTGCTTTTTAAGCCTCTCTCTTTAGACTTTCTTTGCACTTTCAAGTTAGCTTGAAACAAACAGGACCCATCTTCTGGGAGGTTTTAGGTTAGGCAGCTGCTTCTATCCATGCTTCATCATCACACCTTTGCAATTTCATCTGACACCAATTCTCATCGCTCAGGTATAGTTCTATTTTGAAGATTTTTTTCCATTACAGACCCAAAGGGACTGACGCTCTAGAGGCAGAACATTTTTGCAATGTGGAGGCGTTTGTGGTCAATTCTGAGAGGTTCACTCAGGATGCCTCTGCAACCACAGAGAGGGTGGGGGGTATTCTCTCAGAATTTAGGGGGTAGCACGGGCTGGTATACCTGCAAGAAGAATAAGTGTTGTGTGATCTCCTGAACCAGCTCCTCCTCAGCATTCTCAGGATAAAATTTGGCCAGGAAGTGAAAGGTGACCGGCTCCTCCTTTGAAACATCATGATCCAGCACCTGCAGAATTGCAAAGCAGAAGACACACGTATTGTGTCAGCCCCTCTTCTTCCTGTGCTACCAAAGAACTTTTTGCAGGGAGAGTATACAATTTTTTCCCTGTTAATTTCTTTATATTCCTCACAAGTGTTGATTCCCCAGCTGGAAGCATTCACAGAGCCATCCACATGAGGAAATACCTTCCTCACACAGGGTTTCTGAACCAAACTAATCAATACCCTAAAAGGTGAGTGAAGCTAAGATGAAGGTTCAAATGTTCTCGAGGCCACAGGAAAAAAACCTAGAAATATAATTCAAAGGTCTTGGCCACTGTCTTTTATGGGAGACTGAAATGTTTTTACATTTTTCTGAAGTAGTGAAATGTCCCTTTGTTCTTTTTCCTTATTGCCCACCTACATAACATAGATCCAATTGGAATACACCTTATAGATGATGAACTAGATTTTTGTGACACCATTTAAATGTTAACTGAACAACAGAAGTGAAACGTGTCCACAGAACAATCCTTTGTTTCTAGGACCCTCCAGAGATGCCCCACAAAATGCTTGCAGTGCAGTCAGTAAGCCACTGCCTTTAATCTTCTAACAATTCCATCCACCCCCTGAAAAGCTTGAACCATCTGCTCTCCAGAGTGAATTTCATTTCAGGACATAAACATGCCATGTGACAGGCTACCAGGCTCCATTAACATGTGTCATAATTTATTTCCTTTGAGCAGCGGTTCCATGGCTCCTGATGCCCTCAATCTAATATCCGTTTGGCCAACACTCAGGTATGATTTAAAATTCACTTTGCTGAGAATCATAAAAACATATGGAAAGTTTTGCTGTCTCTGACACATAACTCTCCTTACTCCTGCCCAAATTATAGGGGACAGTGGCCAGTAACTCAAAATCAACCTGATCTAGGATACCTTCACTGACACTGGCACTTCACAGAACTCAGATCATGAAGAATAACCATTTGAAATTTACAACCAGCAGGGATTTCAATGTGAAGACTTGAGATTACCCTGTACATATATAAACACAATTTGAACACTTCAGCTTAGGATCACACTGGTAAAAGACAGAAGGCTTCCATCATTTATCATAACATGAAGTATGTAATAACTTCAGGCAGGCAATTGCAGAGGGTACCAATTAGGGTAAGAATTAGACACTGACTTATTTAAAGATTCAGGTGTCTTTTTACGAGTGACAGACAAAAGCACTTGGTCCTGTTCCCCAATCATCTTCATAGTTAGGTGGGCAGGTAAATATATAAGTGTGTCTTTATGTGAACATATGAGCCCATGCAGAGGGCAGTTCCTCTAAGCAATATCCATTTTCAAGCCATTTTAAAATTAGTAGGAGCCCAGACTGCACGTGCCCCAGAGAATCCCAAGAACAAATGGGCACTGTTCCTTCACCACAGGCACAGGCGCGTCCTTTATTCCTTGGATCATATTAATGATTAATTCAAGTTGGGCCATGGTGTTCTCAAAAAGACTTAAAAATCCCCTTAAGAACATGAGCCCCAAGAGAATCTTTCAAAGACATGAATCGTTGGTTTTTTTTTTTTTTAAGTATAAGATAGTAGTCATTTTTATTCATAAAGCCTGCCTCCTGGCTCAATAAATTGAAGGACATAAAGCTGGAAGCAATCGGGCTGGGGACAACAAGCAAAGAAGCCAGGACTTGCAAGGGTTGAACCCCAGTGAACTCCACTTGCCTAGGACAGGCTGGGGAAGGGTAAGGCACAGCACTTCTGGGACCTGGTCTCTGCACCACTCAGTTCAGGAACTTGACCCCCTTTCTACCATGTAGCCATGAAGTCCTGATGATGAACAAATAAGCTAAGCATTTGCTCAGGGTAAAATCCGGAAAGCACACATCTGCCCCACTGATTTTGTGCAGTTCCAAGCCCAACCTTCTTGTCCATTTTGAGCCAGGCCACGGTGTCCTTGATTGTGTACTGTAGTCCAAAAAACCAGGTTTCCCGCAGCCCCAGAGTCCGGCACACCAAATCAAACAGGTCCTTCCCTTTCCATTTCACCTGCAATATAACAAACCAACAGGGAAGGATGTTGTGAGCAAGAATCATAACCTACTCGCCTACAAAACGGTTCTCTGCACTCTCTACTGATACTAAGATGGCTGATGAGCATTGAATTCCTAAATAATTTTAAAGCTTCCCACACAAAACCATGAGTGGGAAAATACCAATTAGAGCTTAATGGCTTAATCACTGCAGAGCATACACAATACCTCCCTTGGACACTTCCTTACAGATCTTAATATCCCCAAAGCTGCTAATTTAGGAAACCTGGTAAATAAGCATCCTCATTTAGGAGAGCTGAGCCTCCTGAGTTAACCCAGGGAGATGGCCAGCGTCTGAGACATCAATTCCCTTGAGATTTTGTTGTTGCTTTTTAAAAAATCATTCTGCCCTTTGATAAAAGACTAGTGGGGGGTGTGTGTGCGTGTGTGTGTGTGTGTGTGTTTAACTTAAATATTCGTTTTATTAGAAGTTTTTTAAATATAGGGGAGGAAGTTGCAATCAAAGTCATAAATCATGGGAAAAAAGAACCATGAGAGATTAGCCAGTCCAATCACAGGTTTCCTATCATAGATGCTCAACTGGGCTAAAGGCAAAGTAACTCATCCATAGTCAACAGAGCAATTTCAAACTCTTGGTATCTGAGCCTAGGTGACAGACATCCATATACTATGGTGTGTTTACCCTAGAGACTCACTTTCAAAAGAACCTGAGCTGGACACAGTGGCATATGCCTGTAATCCCAGCAGCTTGGGAGGCTGAGACAGAAGGATCGTTGAGTTCAAAGCCAAACTCAGCAAAAGCGAGGCACTAAGTAACTCAGTGAGACCTTGTATCTAAATAAAATACAAAATAGAGTTTGGGGATTTGGGGATGTAGCTCAGTGGTTGAGTGCCCCTGAGTTAAAAAAAAACAAAACAAAAAAAGACCTGAAGCAAAAGCTGCTAAGGGGAAAAGAATGTCTAGCAGCTTAGTAAATGTTGCCACCTAGTGGCTTTGCCATTAAGTCTCCCAGGATGTTCCCATACTACCCCCTCAGCTACCACTTGCCAGATTCCTGCCCCATCACCTCCCAAGTTATCAGTTGAACATAGAAATACACGCTTAGTTGCAGGTATGAACACCTGAGGCACATCACAGAAACAGCAGTCATAGAGTAATCCTGAGACTCAAATGCAAGGTCGCCAAACATGGAAAGAATGAGACCACTTGATTACAAAAGCCTCTGAACTTCCACCCTCATTGGAAATCTCCAAAGTCCTGGCACACTGAAGATGCATGATGAAAAAGGAATGGGGAACATGTAGGTTTTAGAGACTTATTAGAAAAAAGAAAAAAACAAGAAGGAAAAAATATCTGATTGACTTTTTGCTAAAACCTAGTTCCACAGGGGAGTTTTCAAGTAGGATTTCTGTTTTTAATAGCTGTGAATGAGGGCTGGGGTTGTGGCTCAGTGGTAGAGCATTTGCCTAGCATGCATGAGGCACAGCATTCAATCCTCAACACCATATAAAAATAAAATAAAAAATTGTATCCACCTACAACTAAAATATAAATGTTTAAAAAAATAGCTGTGAATGAATGGTGGGTTCCCCACAGGTACTCAAAAGGAGAGGCCATCTCTTCTCTGTGTTACATTCCAGCATTCCAAGTCAGCAACCCAGATGGCAGATACCAAGACCACAGCAGACAAGTGCTTGAGTTGCAGTGGGCTTCTTTCTTTCTTTTTTTTTTTTTTTTTTGCGCGGGAGGGCTGGGGAGGGCACTGGGGATCGAACTCGGGAGCACTGGACCACTGAGCCACACCCCCAGCCCTATTTGTAATTTATTTAGAGAGAGTTGCTTAGTGCCTCGCTGTTGCTGAGGCTGGCTTTGAACTCGCGATCCTCCTGCCTCAGCCTCCCGAGCCACTGGGATTACAGGCGTGCCCCACTGCATCCAGCTAATTTTGTTCTTCACTAGGGCTTTTTCTCCTATCTTTCTCTGACTATAGTAGAGTCCCTGGTATACAACAAAGATTATTAAGATTAACAAAGTCCTTAGAGATTATTTTGAATAAAATAAAATAAATAAAATCACGAGTTTTATTTTTAAAAGATTATAGTCTTTCCCCATTTATAATGCTGAACAATGGCCACACCCATTGCCCCATCTGACAACTGGACAAAGGGTTTTTAATTCACAGCAGGTTTTAATTCCTACAGGCAGACTTCACTGAAGAAACGTTATTTTGGAAAACTGGAAGCTTCAGGATGCCGATTATCCTCTTGTCTCTATTTTAAGCAGCACACAGTATATAAATTATAAATGCCTACCTTGCTACAAGATAATGTACCACTAAAGAGCAGGCATTAATGTAGAGAAGTTAAACACCCATGGGCCAAGAGGATCAAGGTAATGATTCCCAACATGCCTTTACTTACAGCCACAGCCAGGGCTGGGTTTTGGCACGAAGGGGCTGTCTGCAAGTGGGATGGGCAATGCACTGGAAGAAAAGCTGCCAAGGGAAGATGAGTGAATTTCCCGACTTGGGAGTTTAAATCCTCAAACATAATATCATATTAATGCAGTTTTCCTGCATTCCCTTCTACTTCTTTGTTTTTTGTTTGTTTTGTTTTTGTTTATTTTTAATTTTTTTTAATTGTAGATGGACACAATATCTTTTTTTTTTTAATTTGTTTTCATTTTTATGTGGTGCCAGGGATCAAACCCAGTGCCTCATTCATGCTAGACAAGCGCTGTACCACTGAGCCACAACCCGGCCCCTACTTCGGCCCTTACTTCTTCGGTTTTTTTTTTGGTTTTTTTTAATATTTATTTTTTAGTTTTTGGAGGACACAACATCTTTGTTTGTATGTGGTGCTGAGGATCGAACCTGGGCCGCACGCATGCCAGGCGCTTGAGCCACATCCCCAGCCCCTACTTCTTCGTTTTTAAAATGCAAAACTATCTTTGTTGAAGGCAAAGACAATGTCTTTGCCCCCATGGAGCTTGCAATAAAGTGAGGAGGAGGGAAAGAATTTTCATAACAATTCAGAACTGCCCTACTTAGGGGGGTTTCCTACTTATATTTTTAACTTTGGTGTGAAGAATCTCAGACTGTCAGAGTTGAAAATGAGCCTGAGTAATTAACTATCACAGACCCAGCCCCTTTTGTACAAATAAGGGAACTGAGCCACAGATTATTTGGCAGGCTGACAAAAGCAGGCCCTGGCCTTTTTCAGGGTGACTCAAAGTAGGCAAACCCCCAGTCCCTCAAGCACCTCTTTCCCTATTCTGTGGTCCTCCTTTCTTCTTGCTTTCCACCTTGTTCAGAAAGTGACCAGTGTCTGAAATGACACCCATTCTCAGAAGAATCAAATGTGGCTCATCTACAGCTTCATGTGAATTAAGTCCCCTGGTTACTCTCATTTATTTTTACAGTTAGTACTGCAGAGCACACGCGCTATGTGCCAGCACTGTTGGACATCGGGACTACAAAACGATGCAAGCAGGATGCATGCAAAAGAAGCAGGGGAGAACTCAGGTCCAAGAAGACTTAAAGAACAAGTGAGAGTTCATGAGGTAGGGAAGGAAATACACCTCTTTAAAAAAAATCATAATTGTGCTGGGCGCGGTGCACACACCTATAATCCCAATGACTCCTAATGAGGCTGAGGCAGGAGGATCGTAAGTTCAAAGCCAGTCTCAGCAAAAGTGAAGTGCCAAGCAAGTCAATGAGACCCTGTCTCTGAATAAAATACAAAACAGGGCTGGGATGTGGCTCAGTGGTCAAGTGCCCCTGAGTTCAATTCCTGTGCCCCTCCACTCCAAAAAATCATGATTGCTACAGGAAACTGCAAGTCATTTGCTGGAGCTGAAACCAACAGCCAGGCTCTGGAGGGGGCATGGTGGAAATAGTGCTTAATGCCCAACCAGGTGACTTGACTTCAGCCAAATTCCATAGAGGCTTTGAGGACTTGGGCAGAGGAGTGACAGGGTCAGATCTGCATTCTGGATGTGTTCTGACAACAGGGGAGAGAATTAGTTGGAGGAAGGAGCATAAATCAAGAAGGACAGAGCGAAAGCCATTCCTACAATGGGAAAGGTGGTGGGAGAGAGAAAAGACAGCCTGAGAAATGGAAAGCGAGCAGTCATAGAACTGGTGCCTGAACGGGGACCAAAGGAGAAAGAATCAAGAGGGACACCTGCATTTCTAGCTCAAGCACCAGATGGTTCCACTAAAGGAGAGAGAGAATACAAGAGAAACAGTAAATTTGGGAAAACAGATGAGCAATTAAGTTTTAGACAAGATAAATTAAGCTGCCTGAAGAAACCAGGAAGAGATGCCTTAAATAAATTTGATTTAAAGCCTCCATTTATAAAATAACATGTTTGAGGCTGAGGCAGGAAGATTTTTTGAACCCAGGAGTTCAAGTTCAGCCTCGGAAACATAGTAAGACCCTGTCCACCCACCCCCCAGAATAATAAAATAGAAAGTTATGTCTTTAAGTAATTAAGTTTTCTTATGGTCTGGAGTTGTAGCTCATGGTAGAGCATTTGAATAGCATGCACTAGGCTGAGATTTAATCCCTACCAAGGACAAGGACAAGGAGGAAAAGTTGTTTTCTGTTTGGCTAAATCTAACCTCAACATGTTATTACCTACCCAAAGTTGTTTTTCGTTTTTGTTTTGGTTTGGTTTGGTTTTGGTACCAGGGATTGAACCTAGGGGTGCTTACCTGCTGAGCTATATCCTCAGCCCTTTTTATTTTGAGACAGGGTCTCACTAAGTTACCTAGAGCCTTGCTAAATTGCTGAGGCTGGCTTTGAACTTGCAATTCTCCTATCTCAGACTCCCAAATCGCTGGGATTACAGGTAAGCACCACCATACCGGGCTGATGTTGTACTTTTCAATATGCCCTTCCCCAAATGTCTGAGGCTTGCTCAGTCTTCCTGATTTGAGTCTCCAGTTCTTTACAGACAAAAGCTGTTGGTCATAGATACTGTAGGTTTTC